TAGCTCTTTACTGCTGTTATCAAGTGTCTTTAAGGCCGCGCTGGCCAAAATACGTTGCTAGTTCTGTATTTTCTGTACTGTCTCCTTCTCTGTTAGTAAAACATCAAAAAGGGTTTGTGAATATTAAAAAGGCGGGGTTTTTTTTCCCTCTTATGTGTTATTGAGGATCGCATGCTTCGCAAAGTAGGTTATCCAAGCTATGGAATACACCAGTGCTACTCACTTTCATGCTTTTATTTATTGCAAAACATTTTTGGTCCTTTCCCACCCCTGTCCTTCGGGAAGAATAGTAATCGATAAATAAATACTTCTTTTGCTTTCAGCATTTGCCCTTCCTATTTGCCGGCTGGGTGTCCATATTACTTAAGACCTTAGGGAGGAGACCTGATCTCAAACTTGCCGCTTGTCCCTTTGTCAAAGGAGGGGAAAAAATGAAGTGTGTAGGTGTGCATGCCTGTGTCTGCCAGTGACGGCATCCTTGGATGTGCTGCTTATAGGAGTGTTGTCAGAAAGGCAGGCAGTGTGTTTGAACTCTGTTTTCCCAACATTCATTGAGAAAGATTTTTGTCACTAGAATGAAAAATGAACGGATTTAAGTTCCCTGTGGTCTACCAGCTTAAGGCCTCCCATGTTTGTGCCATCAGATCAGGTTGTTAGAGTTCGGTAGAGTTGCAGGTATGATGCAAACGTCTTTCATGGGGTCACTTGTCTTGAAGTTATTTTGTTGAGACATTTCTGGGTCTTCCATTTAGCCATCTTGCTTACATGAGGGCCTGAAATAAGCTTTTTTTTTTTTTTTTAAATTATTATTCAGTGTCTTGTTTCTCATTGGAAAGGGAATACTGGTAGCAATTCCCCTGACAGGAATGGAATAACATTAAATTTTCCAGTAGCCTTGGAAATTGCTATCCACAGCACTGTGTGACGGTTTGGGATTTTTCCTTCAAAATACTAATTGAAGTGGGACTCTTACGCCCATCACAAGAATTTAAAAAAGTATATACCAAAATAGGTATGGTAAGACTTCATAAAAAAAATCCAGATTTTCTCAGAGGAAATATTTCTCCCAAGACTGTGTTATATAGCCTTACCCTCCAAGTTCTTGCCAGTTCTGAGCTGGGGCTGGTGGACGCGGCGGTAAGAATGTGTTTAGGAAATTTCTGAATTAACTGAAGGACAACTCCAGAATATGAATGGTTGCATTCCCGTTTTCTGCATCTTGATGTGCCCCTGTCTGTTGAGAAGCATTGCTCCAAGTCTGCCCCTTACCTTGCTGTTTTCCTTGAGACTCAGAATGCGTGTTTTAACATGATGTGCGAACACAAAGTTCAACTTTTTTTACCCCCCGTGGTTTTTTTTACAGTTTTGTATGATTTATAACTTCTTCCTTTGTCCTTACAGGTGGCCATGAGAGCACTAGGTTTTGAACCTAAAAAAGAAGAGATCAAGAAAATGATATCAGATATCGATAAGGAAGGAACAGGAAAAATCAGCTTCAATGACTTCTTGGTAGTGATGACACAGAAAATGGTATGTAAATTTTAAAAGTCAAAGGGAAAGCAATTTTGAAAATGGCTGAGTACCTTTAATCTCCTTTTGGTTTTAGTGGAAGATGAAAGCGCTACTTTAATCTTAACAACAAAATATACAAAAGTTAGAATTGCAAGACAGGGACTACCCTATCTCATTTTTCAAGGTAAGGTTGGAATAATTATGTCATTAACAAGTTTCTGTAGCAATCAGTTTTGTGTGTGTGAGAAAAGGGAAAAACTGAAATCAAGATTTTTATCACAGATTAAAACCAGCTCTGGCCTGCAGAAAGCCGTCGGGAGTATTGACACGTGACATGTGAAGCAATGCACTGTTTTTTCTTTTCTTCAGTTTTAAGACGTTTGCAGATGAAATCTCTGGTTTTAAAAGTCTTAAAACATGCTGAGTAAAACCAGATATTTAACCATGGAAGATCCCAATACTGAAATCCCAAAGACAACTGGCTAGCTATGAAAGAAAAAAACCTCCCCGAAACCCTGAGGTTCAGGAAGCATTGACGTGTCTCTGTCTACCTTCAGTTTTTGCACGTATACGTCTTTAAATTTGCTCTTAAGAGAGTTTCTCGGTCTTTCTAATGCTTGTCTTTTATAACTTTATTTTGAGTGTTACCTGCAACATAACCACTACTTTTTTTCCTTAAACTTATGCTTACTTCTTTAAGGCTGAAAAAGATTCCAAAGAGGAGATTCTCAAAGCTTTCAAACTCTTTGATGACGATGAAACTGGCAAAATCTCTTTCAAAAACCTCAAACGTGTCGCCAAAGAACTGGGGGAAAACCTCACAGATGAAGAGCTGCAGGTTTGTACCTGGTATATGAAACCATATCATACACACACACTCACTGGCTGCCTTTGTCTGTAGTGAAGATAGAAAGGTCCAGATTACACTGTGCCCGTTGAGTAGGAAGGCGGTCACAGAATGTTCATTACTTGGTTTCATATTTACATTCGTGTAAAACCGATGTAAATAGTCGCAGCCTAATTCTGCTTCTGTCTGGGGAGCTGAGCTGTCTCCCTGACTGGTCTGCTAAGCACTAGAGCTAGCAGGAGAATAAGGAATGGGAATCTCTCTCAGTGGGGGAAGGAAGCCCTCTCAGGGTCAGCTTCTAGGTAAAGGCAGCGGTCTCTCAGTTTTAGGTGCTGTCCTCTAGTGTCCCGGGGGACCTTTATGCTTGAACTGTTAGGAAAATCTGCCCCCTCTCTCCCAGCAGAAGTGGAAGAGCTTCTGTCAATTTGTGATTGGGAAATGGATTCTGAGGTCAAAGATGGGTTAAGCATACGTGGCTGTCGAAATTGCGCCAGTAGAATTGCAGTTTTATGGAGTTACGGTGAGGTAAAAGGAAGAACTCTGCTCCAAGCACTTTGTTTCTTCCAGGACAGTTCCTATAATACAACATTTTCTGTGCGGATTTTTGTATAAATATATATAAAAACATACTAGTGTCTAGTTTAGTAAATATTTTGTAGCATAGTAGGTCTGACGTTGAGCTAACCTACTGTTCCCTCCAATACAACTTACTAAAAAGTGGTGCTAATTCTGAATTAATCTAATAATTCTAATCCTAGTCTAATCTGCATCTAATTTCTGAATACAAATATCTTTCAGGAAATGATCGATGAAGCAGACAGAGATGGGGATGGGGAAGTGAACGAGCAAGAATTCTTGCGGATCATGAAGAAGACCAGCCTGTACTGAAACAGAATTTTATTTATTTTTGCACGTGTATATACGTTTGGTAGGTGCCTCACTTTTTTACAGTCGTCTTCTTTTGAGACAGCAGAAAATATAGGTCAACTTTTTTTTTTTTTTAAGTGCATGATCTTAAACTTGTGTTTGGGAACAGTTACCAACTGCTAACCTGTTTACATGTAGCAACGTGGTTGCTTGTTTGTGCTCGTAAGATGTTTATACTCTTTGTTTTTGATACACAAATCACATTTTTCAGTGACAGAATTCAGATCCTTCTCTGACTAAAAACCACGTGTCAAATGATTATGGTTTGGTAAAGAGAGGACTCAAAACCAGATAGTGTAAATCTCTATTTCCCAGCAGTTGAAGGTTTTGGTTTAATGTCTTGGTTTGGGCCCAGCTATGGTGAACTCTTTATATGACGTATTTGCAGGGATCAGCCTTTTATACTCTGTCTTATGGTGATTATCCCCTCCCCTTTTTTTTAGTATGTTCTTTAAACTGAAAAAAAAGTAAGTAAATAGACTGCTGCAACTTATTCACACATTGAAAGAAATCTCTTTGCAAAAGAAGAGGAAAGTTACCAGTGCTGCTGTTGAAAGCTCTGTATGTTTGCAGGAATATTCAGTGGCTGCAAATAAAAGACTTACTTAAAATAAAGTGTCTTATTTTAAGCCATCAGAGTTGTGGAAAGAAGTGTACAAAAATACAAACAAATCCGCTGGTACAGGATGCCAACTGATCCGCTGACAAATAATGAAACACTCTTCCAGTACTTTAAGAGTTTCAACTTGTAAGTTTTAACTGTTAAGTCTTCAAAAGGGCCCTGTTGTTAATGTTTCATCTTTGGGGTTGATTTTCCTTCTCCACTAGTGGAAGCAGTTTTCTGCATCCCAGCAAACAGTGTTGTTAGTTGCTTTGTGTCTGTGTGGGTTGGATCTAAACTTAGAGATTAATTCAAATTCTTCAGCCAGTCCCTGGAATTTTCCCTATTGTATTTACATCTGGTAGCTTTTCAGCCTATCTGATAAGTTAGTCAAAACACTTAATCCCAGAAAATCCTGTATAACTCTCAAAAGCTAGTGCTTACGGCAGAAACTTCTGTACCTTTCCTGAACTCCTGCATTGTGCAAAAGACAAGAGTTGAAGGGCTTGGGAACGATTACTTTCTGTAAGGTAATGAACAGCTTAAGCTGTGGATTCCCCTTCAGAAGTAAGAGTATGGGAGAAAACCGTGCAGCTCTGAGGCCCGGTCTCCCAGGATTTGTGCTCTGTCCTCATTAAATGCTAATTCGGACTGAACATTGCTCTGTGGTTGGGATACTCACCACAGTTCTCTGTAGGGTGTTGTCGAAGGACCAAGGGAACGGTGGACTTCTTGTGCTAGCAAACATTTCTCTCCTCTTCCTGGCAGCTGCTGTCCCCAAACTGGCTGGTCTTGGAGGCTTTCACACCTTTGCAAAAGGTTATGGAAGGCGGCCAACGGGGTGAAAATGATTGGCAGGAGAATCAGCGGAAAAAAGTAATACAGAAAAGAGTGACTCGATAAGCTACGTTTTCATTAGAAACCTGGGTAGAATTGCTGTATTATGCTACTCTGGGCTGTTCTGTCACTGCCAGATGTGCTTGAACCCCTCTTTGCAGCACCACTGCCCTCTGGCCACCAGTGTAGTCTCGAAGGATCTTGCCATGTTGGTGAGAGTGCAAAAATATGCCGGTGTTTCGAAAAGGATGTAAAAAGCCTGAAGAGTTTGCTGAGAAGAGCCTCAGAAAATAGTTGCTGGCTCCGAAAACGTCTTACTCTGAGAGAATTAAACAGCTCAGTCTGTAATGATTATACGATACTACCTGTTTAATATGAACCTATATAAGAAGAACATACCAGCTACCATCTAAAAAGCTCTTAACCTAATGGAGACAAACCTGTCAGCATCCAGGAGCTGGAAGTAAGCTCTTCAACTATAAGAGAGAAATAAAGCATGGCTTATCTTAAATGACGTTTGTTAACTGTGAGAATGAGCTATCAAATACCACGGCAGCGTCTTCAGGTCAAGACTGAATCCCCTCAGTAGGCTTGCTTCAGCCCAGTGCAAGTTGCTGCGCTCTCTACAGCTCCTGCAGAGTGGTCGGATTACACGGACAAATGGTTCCCTCTGGCCTTAAAAACCCATGCCTGGCCTGTTACCTGAACAACCGCGCCGGACACTGGGTTCTTTTTAGTGTCTTCTGCTTGCCAGACTCTGCTATCGCCCAGCCGGTCCGCAGCTTGCCATTCAGGTTTCAGCTAGACGGGTATCTTGTCTGTCCCTGTCGCAATGAAGAATTGTTGCTTCCGGGTTGTTTCTAGGAATTTTCCTAAAGACTGGAAGGGACTGGAAATTGCACCGCTTCCTCTGGGATGCCTAGATCTCGCCCTGGACTCTTTCTGGGTAGGAGCAGTATGGAAGGCTGCTTCCAAAATACTCCATGCTATCATAGCAGGTCTTCTGTTAATACAAGGGAAGAATTTAACCTCTTCCCATTAGACCTGGATGCTAACATTGGTTTGACTCTGCTTTCACCCGTGTCATATTCATGCCCAAGTCTGGGTTCTGACAAATCCTAGCGAAACAAGTGGGGTTCGTTCCTGGTGACTTCGTCCTGTACCTTTCCTCACTCATTGACCAACCAGTAGCACTAAAAGCATCTCCTAATCCAGAGTAAAAGGCAAAAATGAAAGCAGAATTCAGCCTGTGTAAGTAGTGTCATGTTTTATTCAGTAGCAGAACCGTGTTCCTTCCTTTTGCCACCAATTCCTCTGTTCTGTGAGGTATGTGGGGAGCTTTGAAGTACTGGCAAAGATGGATGTGTAAGGAATCTCAGAAGGGGACCGATTCCTGTTGACAGATGATATGCATGTGTCAGGTCAGCCACGAGGCTGACGTGACCCAGGCAACTCCTCGGCCACTCAGAACCAAAGACAGTGGCTGTATTTGAGCCCCGTGGAAACCTGGCTTCTGCGTGCCAGCTCGATGCGTGCCCACACTCCAGTTACTGCCAGTTGGCTGTCAGTAAGTGGTGTGTCCTCGGCAGAACACAACGCTTCCATCGCTCCGGGGTTCTCCCTCCTCAGCAGCCACCGGTGGTCCGGTGCCAGGGGGGAGAACTCCGTCTGAGTAGCAGTTTGCCTGTTGACATGTGGGTGTAAAAGGGGAAGAACGTTATCCGAGGCTCAGTGCCTGCGCTCCAGAGGAGATGGATTCTGTGGCTTTGTGGCATTCAGGCAAGTCTGACCACTTCTCTGACCATTTTTCCGATGCCATCGTAGACTTCATGAATGGGGGCATTGCACATGAAGGCGCTGGTGGTCACCAGCTTGTTCTTCACATCCACGTGAATTTCAGTGACGTGTTTGTTCACATGCTTGCAACCAAGCTCCTTCATGGTCTCAGCAGTCTTCGCATAAGGCCATCTACAAGAAGAAAAGAGAATAAACCCTGTGTGGGGAAGCCGTCGCTACACAGAGCGATTTGACGAAGGCCTAGAGTGAGAAGTCTGTTGATTACAGAGAGATGGATGGTCCCTACAGAAAGCCTGCTCAATAGGATCCAAATCTTTTCCTGTCAGAGGAGTTTCTCCGGGACTATAGAACCAGGAAAAAGTGAGTTAAAAATCTGAAGTAAAGCCAAAATAAGACCTTGATGTTCCACTATAGATGTTCCAGTACTTAACTCTGCCCACTCCAGACTTTGTGTTTAGGTTTGGGGTTTTTTTTTCACCAGCTTCCTACAAGTGACATTGCTTCTGAGCCCTTCCTAGCAAGAGCCATCATAGTTCCTTCCCTGCCATTGGGAGAATTCAGTCACAGCTTTCCCATACGAGTAAGGACAGTTTAACTCCCTCCCGCTCTAAACGCTACCCAGTCTTGTGCAACCGTCCTGTTCCTACCTAGGGTCTGCTTAACTTCGTGAGTCAGTGGTCTGGTGTCTTTCCTACCCTGGGACCACGAGGTGCCTGAGACAGGGTGCTACCTACATTGGGGAGGCAAATAAAAGACTATTTAAAATAGTGTCTTATTTTAAGCCACCAGAGTTGTGGAAAGAAGTGTACAAAAATACAAACAAATCCGCTGGTACAGGATGCCAACTGATCTGCTGACAAATAACGAAACGCTTCTTCTAGGTACTTGAAGAGTTTCAACTTGTAAGCTTTAACTGTTAAGTCTTCAAAAGGGCCCTGGTTGCTAAATGCTTCCCTCTGGAGGCAGCAACTACAGCAGAGCCTGTCTTTGAAGTGGCGTCTGCCTGAGGTAAGAGCGTAACTGAAGGATGGCTTTTGCCTTGTGTTGGAAGGAAACAAGCTCCCATGCCCTTCCGCTACGTCTCTTTGTTCCACTAATCCCTCTGGTATCCTCCTTCTCTGCTCTCAGGCAAGGAAAGGACAGATTCCTCCTTTCCAGAAACCTGAACATCTTCTTGACTCAAAATCTAATTTATTCCTTTGCGATTCTTGCAGTCTTTTGTGCCCCCGTATGGTAAAGTACCCCCATTACGGAAAACTGTAAAAAGTAAAATCAGATTTCTAATTTTAACGTGAGACGTACATTGTAAGTTACAAGGGGTACATCAAAACTTCTGATTATTTAATTTATCAGCCAAAGTTAATTTAATAAATGCATAATGTGGGTCATTCGTTCTGAGAAATAACATTCAACTCATCACGAGACTTCAGATATCCGGGCAGGATAGTTGAGACAGGGCGCTACGTACACTGGGGGGGCATTGCTGATTCTGTGATGTTCATGGTGTCGTTTCATATCGGCACTCCAAGGTTACTTACTTCTCACACTCTGTGTCATGACCCACAGTCAGCTCGCAACCTGGGAAGATTTTGGCTGCCAGCACTGGGGAAATGCAGCACAGGCCAATGGGCTTTTTGGCAGCGTGGAATGCCTTCAGGACGTCCTCCACCTCTTTGGAGACGATGCAGTTCTTGCCTTGGGTGGCCCAAGTACTCAGGTTTTTAGCCACTCCAAAGCCACCTGAGAAAAGAGAAACAGATTAGACCAGAAGATTAGTACTCCAGGGCAGGATTTTTTCAGGTATTGCTTACTAGAATGCTGAAATGGATTTGGTGGATGACAGCATTTGTCTAACGTTGATAAAAGAGTTAAAACCAGACAAGCTGAACCTTTGTGAGCTGGCTGCCAGGAGATGAGACGTCAAAGCACCTTTCTTGCTTCCGTACAGAACTGAAGCAGAGAGGTATTGGGTGTGTTGGGTACTGTGTTTCACCCATGAGCTCTTTTCTGAACTGTGGTGGAGCATGCTGACAAGTTTTTACTTGTCTCTTAATCCTTGCTCCAGGCCTAATCCATCCCCGCTGAAATCACATGGTCATACTTTCACTAAAGATGAATTGCCAGACTGACCAAGCTTTCGGCTTTTGAGCCGCCCCGTCTCTGTCCCAGCCTCTTCTCCTGATAAGGAGGTAGGCATGTTGGTGAGGGAGGGGATAGTTGTACATCCAGAAAAAAAAAGCTCAGTAGATGGTACAAAGGATAATTCAATTGGCAGTTACCATCTGCCCCCTCCTCTTGGGATAAGCTTCTGCATTGCCGTGTTCTCTTTTAATACAAGTCCAAGCTAGCATGCCAGCACAGATGGAACTGTTCTTCCAGTCCCTGCTTCCAGCCTGTCTTCTTCCCCGGTGGCTCTGCCCAGTTCCTCTCCAGCCCGTGACTCCCATGTCATCCAAGGCTTATGGCTTATCTAAGCTGTTCCCAAGACTTCGGGCAAGCAGACCCCGTCTGCCGTCCTACCTGGTATGATTAGGGCATCCAGCCCCTTGACATCCAGCTTAGCTAGATCCTTGATGTTGCCTCTGGCTATTCTGGCACTTTCAACTAGCACGTTGCGCTTCTCCTGAGTTGGCTGTCCTTTCACGTGGTCCACCACATGCATCTGGTCAACATCAGGAGCATAAACCTCTGCCTGGGGAGAGGGGGGAAAGGTCTATTATCCTTCAGTCATGTATCCTAAACATGTTAAAGATCATAGGTAGCGAATGAAAATGCTTGAGTTACTTTGTTAGGAAAGAACTTTGCTGATGAATACAGCGACTCTCAGGCTCACCTGTATCTGATACTGGCATCAGGAAGGCTATTGTCATAGGGAGGAGAAAGAAAGAAAGGTCTTTTATAGCTTCTGCACAGGAACATTTACCCTGACCTTAAAGGAATGAGGGTGTTATTAGGTGAAAGCAAAGAAGCTAGCCCACACTGCTTGTTTTGGGGCCTGAAGTGCTGGAGAGGGAGCAGTGACTCCTTACCTCCCTAGGAAATGAGGTGTTCCAAGAGCCATTGGTGAAGCCATTTCTTAGAGGTTTCCATCTGCATCCCAAGCAATCCCCTTCCCTGGGGCAGCCCCAGCCCTGCCCCAGCTGCCCCCACAAAGCCCGTCATCCCCTATGGCTGCTGACTACCCAGCAAGCTGCTGTCAAACCACATGCCCCCCTCAAAGACAGGGCTTTGAGTTTCTTCTCCCCAGCCACTGTTTTCCCAAAGCCAGAGTATTTCTTTTTCTGGAAAATGCCTTCAGAACTGTTTCAAGATCACATGCAGTAATTAAGAGTGGAGGATGACAGACAGAGGGGCGATAGATTTTGGGACTGCACAAGCTTTGCAGTTCTGGGCCCCACAATTTAAGAAGGATGTGAAGGTACTTGAAGGCGTCCAGAGGAGGGCAACAAAGCTGGCGAAGGGCTGGAAGGCATGTCCTCTGAGGGGAGGACTCTGGGTTTGTCTGGTTTGGAGAGAAGGAGGCTGAGGGGCGACCTCATTGCTCTCTACAGCTTCCCGAGGAGGGGACGTGGAGAGGGAGGTGCTGATCTCTTCTCCCTGGGATCCAGGGGCAGGACGCCTGGGAAGGGGTCAAAGCTGCACCAGGGGAGGTTTAGACTGGACGTGAGGAAGCATTTCTTTACCGAGAGGGTGGTCAAACCCTGGAACAGGCTTCCTGGAGGGGTGGTCGATGCCCCGAGCCTGTCAGTGTTTAAGAGGCATTTGGACAATGCTCTTAATAACATGCTTTAACTCGGTCAGCCCTGAAGTGGTCAGGCAGTTGGCGTAGATGATCGTTGTAGGTCCCTTCCAACTGAAACAGTCTATGCTGTGCTACGCTGTGCTGTGCTGTTCTTCGTTTCCTCAGGCAAGCATGACCAAAAAATAAACGGCGGGGGTTGAAATAACGCCCGAGTTTCTTCCACTAGAGGTCCCTGCCGATCAAGGGATGAGTGCAGGACGGTGCTCCCATCCTGCCAATCCAGGGTATGGCAGGAGGGCAGCGACCGCAGCAGCTCCAGGAGAGAAGAGGCAAAATTATAGAGAGTGGGAGAAAAGGTTTGGACAAGTCTCAGCTTTAAGCCAAACAGAGAATACACACTTTGGAGGCTTTGGAATTGGGTGGGCTGGCTCTGCAGCACATGTATATCACCACTGTGCCTTTGTATTTAATAGAGCAATTCCAATTTTCCCAGGAGAACACCTCTGACCCAGATTTTTGGGTGGCTCAGAGCTGAGGGTCATGTCTCCCTCCTCTTCCAGTCTCGCGGAGTGGCTATCGTGACTAATGGCACATTAGAGCGGCTGCTTTTTTACCCCTATTCAAGTTCAACTCTCAAGAACTTGTCTATTTCCAGTTCTAATCTTCGGGGGTTTAAAAAGATGAATTTCAAACAGCCAAAACCAATAGTAGTCTTTTAAACAGAAATACCAAAGCAGTAAAGAGGAAGTGCAAGCCAAAAAGAATAGAGAATGCATTTGGGAAAGTTTGTTCCAGAGTTTGGATACACTACTCAACACAGAGCACCAAGGCAATCTCCTCGTACAGCAAAGCTGTGAGAGCGAAGCAGAGACCAGGGAGTTCTCCGCGCTCGCTGTAGCAGCTCCTACGCTGTGCCGTTTGCTTTGACTCCAGTCGCTTATGCTTTGCCATTACCCCAGCAGCAACGGGGAGCTTGTGATTTGTCCGGCAAGCTGCAAAGCTCCTTAGAGACGAGTATCTTCTGCAAGAGAGAGAGCTTGAAAAGCAGAGCCGGGCAAAAGGAGCCAGAAATGGGGCAGGAGCCTGCCGGGGTGCCTCTTACCTGTGCCCCCTCCCTGCTGAGATGCACCAGCACAGCAGAAGACTCATGGATCTCACTCCCGTCGTACACCCCACAGCCAGCCAGCACGACAGCCACTCTCTTTCCCATGGTCACAATCAGAGCAGGAGGATTCCCTGGAGAGCCCAAAATTGCTGTGCGTCTCTGTTCACTGCCTGGAGCCTTTTATAGTGCGATCCCTCCCCCAGGAGCAGGTGGGGCCAGGAGGGTTGGGCTGAATTTCTTACTGGCAGGAAGGTTTTATTTCCAATGCCACAGTCAGGGCATGTAAATATTATTTGTTTCCTCAATTGACTGCTCCCTTGCAGATCTTCTTCCCAGCACGTTGTCTCCAAAGCACCCCCAGCTGACGTGACCTGTTCAACAGAGCAGCTGTGTTTGTCCTTCTCAGCTGTCGATTTTCCATTCTATTTCAGGCTAAAGTACCCCAGTCTTTGCCCATAAGATGGTATCAAAGGGAGCCTGCCTGGAGCAAGTATTCCAGCCAGCGCATTCCCCTCTGTGCCCCATTTTTTAAAACCCTACACTGCATAGGCAACCTCAGTCTTTTAACACCAAGATTTCCTTTTCTGACCTTAAATGTCCTTATGCTCATATCCCATCTCTCAAGATCAGAGGTTCTGCACCCAGTTGTAGTTGTTTCCTGGCCTTTGGGTCCTGAGGTTACAAATTAATAACTTGATTCTTCATCAACAGCACCATCTCTCCATTTGACAGGAAAGTGGTACCGGGAATTGGCAGAGCCTTGACCTCTGTAGGGGCACGTGGCAGCAAGATTCACAGCATGTGATGGGGAAAATCCCTTGCTCGTACAGAGACTTGTTCTTCCATGTCCTTCATATGCTCACTCCTGAGATGATTACGTACCTATTTCGACTTTGCACTGTTGAAATAACTGGCCTGTTCAGGCTGTCTTGCCATTCTTCAGAGAACAAAAAACTTCATGCAACATGGCTGAAGAATGTTTTTTAGGGGTTATTTATAAGAAGTTTTCCTTGGGTCTCTATCATATTTGAAAAAGACATGAAGTACATCCTGTGTGTAAAATAGTGTTTTGGCAAGTTCGTTAGTCGTAGCAGGCATGAGGAAGATAATAATTGCTAATGCATATGACTTCATCTATTGCAGGCATATCTTAAAACTAGTGATATCGGGCATCACATACTCCTAGCTGCTACCTATACAAGCAGGAATAAAAAGCACGTGAGAAAGGACTTGCAGTCCAGCTAATCTAACACAGGCTTTTCCTTTCCGTTACTTTTATTACCCAGAACGGGAATTAAACTGATGCATACGTGTGGAAAACGCCCAAAGCCTTTTTACTGCTGTTTGTTTTGGTATCTAATGTATTCTAACTGTGGTTTAGAAATGTATTATTTCCTCTTCCATGAAAAAACAGCTGAATCATGCTGCAACTTGAACAGATAGTTTCTTCCTCCTTCAGCTGGTTAGAGAGCAGTCCCGTTAATGATGGAACAAAGATAGCCAGAGGCTGATGATTTAAACAAACTTACTGCTTGCTGCAAACCACATCATTTAGCTCTGCCTGTTGCAAACTGACTGAGCTGGTTCCCCTTACTGATATAATTGGTTAGGTGTAACTGGACAAACCAGGCTTGTTCCAGTGCATGCTTCCTCCTGTAATAAGGTCTATCTCAATAGACATATTGAACCTGAAGATCTAATGGCAATAAACGTATTCTTAATAAATAATACTTTTCAGCTGAGTTATTCCATTCCGTGTGGGAACGTCTGCACACATTTATTACGGTAGACACATTGGGCTTTAATATTAACACCTTTCTTTAATCTGCATTAATATTCTAGTGAAGATGAGTGTGAAGGAACCCTGTTGCCTCAAAGCTCTTCTTGAAGGGTGAACACAGTTAAAGATAACTGTCGTCCAAAGCACTGAAGAAACCAGGAAAGTTTGGGAGCCATTATAGGGATCCAGCTGCGCAATGGAAGCATGCCATCATGCTCCAGCTGGCTCAGAGAACAGGAGGAGCAGGGTCCTTTGACATTATCTGCGGACCCTGACAGTCTGGGGTTGTTCTGGATGCTGCTACAGATCTAATGCCTCTTGGATGGATGATCCGGGAGGCCTGTCTTTGAGCCCCAGCCTGTGCAGCTCTAAGTCCCATTTCCAACAGCTTTTCTGTCCTCCAGCCCTGGCTGTGGACCATGACTTATGGGGGAACACAGAACAGGATCTGCCAAGAGGAACGTCACAGCTTGCTGCTGTAGGGCCTCTGGAGAGTCATCCTTGACCAGCCCAGTAATATTAGCGTGACGCTCTTTACGCTGTTCTGCATCTTTTATCTTGTCAAGAGGCTGAGAGTGGAATTTGCTTTAACTGGGGCCGATGGGAACAGGAGCTGAGTCCTTCACGGGAATAGGCCCTACACCGGTCCATTGCACACGAACAAAACAATGGAGGAACGTACATGAGTGCAGGCAAGTGCTGCCCCTGTTTTCCTTCAAAGCTCTGTTAGCTCTCACAGAACACTTCTCCGCCTAATTCCCGCTTGACGCATGACCCAACATGATCCCGAAGTCAGCGTCCACTGCTTTCTGCAGCCTCTCCTCCATTGGTAAAGACCTTTATGCCCTGATCATACATTCTCCATGGGAAGCAGTAGGAAGCTGTGGATAGGTCCTTCATGTCGCCTTTGGGATACAGCAGCGATCATGGCAATGGCTGATACTCACTCACTGCCTGCACGGCTCTCCTGGAAAGCCAGCAAGGCTCCTCTAGATTTATCCTCACACTGCTGGTCTCCAGATGGCATGTTTGCATCGACACCTCACTCATGAAAACCACTTAGGAGGAGTTCCCTGTGAGTGTGCACAGAGATCCTGGGTTAGATAGACGTGGAGTGACACATGGACAGAAGTCACCTTTAAGGGAATGGCACTGAATCTGCCCTGGGTTTGCCCAGCGCAGGACAGTGGTGCCAGGCATTCATAGCTGTGACAGGGACAAACAGCAGGACCATGGCCAGTGTTTGGAGAAATAACTGGTTCCCAAGGAGCTCCTGGGCTTGCAAAGTACTTGTTTGCTCCAGCAAGAATGATTCTTCAAAAACCCTTAAATTTTAACCGGTGTAATTTCCTCACTGGCAGTAGCAAAAAGGCAGTAATAGTAATAAACCCTCAGCATTATTTTTCAAGTGTCTTTTTTAACAAGGGTTAATCAACAGTAAAATTAACAGGCCCCTGGAGGGAGCTACCAGCAGTCCATGCTGACTCACAGACTGAAATTTATTGCAGCAAGGAGCTCGTTTGCATTTCCTCCCGCACGCGGAAAGGAAC